CATCAGTCAGAAAAATTGCCTTATTCTAAAAGCAGAATCAACAGCAGCTATGTAACAATGATAGCTAGTAAATAACCGTGTACTTAATCGGTTATTGGCCGCACAATGACGCTTATTTATCAACCTTGAAAGGAAGAAAGGACAATGACGCAACACGGGCTCAAACACGTGACCAGCCATAGAAAAGTGTGAATAATGGGTTTCTCCCTATTGCATGAAGAATAAAGCCTGTAAGGGGTGTCGTTAACATAACCGTAATCGGCCGAAGTAGAGCCAATGCATGAAAAGTGTTGCATACGAGACGTCCAGCTGCAAGCTGACGCCGGGTAAACCGCGCTCAGTGGCAAGCAACGCCGCTGTAGTGGTAACATCGACCATGGTGGCAGTAAAGCCTCCATGTAACGCTCCTTGAGGGTTTTCGTGCTCTTCTTCGACGGTGAACTCGCATTTGCATCGACCGGGTGCGAGTTCGACCAGCCTCACCTATGGACGCAAGCGAAATGTACAAATAAAAGTAAATTACACAAAAATAGACACTATATAAAAACTTGGCAAAACTCAATTGCCTCAGACCGGCATGTTCTCGATTCATGCTTTGAACACAAACCACTGGTGTTTGAAATCACAGATCGAGAAGCCAACCGTTTGTTTATCGGATGGATAGAAGTGCGCAGAAGAACACTAACATGCAATCCCATCTACGGGAGGACGAAAGGGCAGGAAAGTTGTCGTTAATAATTCTGTCGTACAGCTGGAACCCTCGCGCACCCAACCATCAGGAGATCACTGTCGTTTAAAACATCGATAGCAAACAGCATTACCTCATTCAGCGACCTCAATTATCTCGGTTCTCCTCGATAGCTTATAAACCACGATTCTGCTGAAAATTTACGGACGCTAAATGACGACTTAGACGAAAGGTCATTCGTGCAGCTTTGCAGTTCGTTGGTATCTGCGAGTAAAAGTTGGTGCTATTTTCCATGCCAGAGCAGAACGTCACGCCCATGAGTTTAAAGATCAATATTATGTGCAACTCAGCCGCGACTCCGTCCATGCTTAATCCATTCTTCCTGGCTCAGAAATGAGAAGTTACGCAAAATGGGAAAGCAATGCCCAGCAAAGAGGAGATGAGTTTCACCGAATCCGGCGTAGTCAATTACCCTAAAAATGACATGATTCGAGACACACCAGAACCGGGAGAATTTCCGCATCTGCCTAGGATGGCATACATGTTCGTACAAAGGTTAAAAAAACCGCTGAAAACCAGAAAGACATCATCTCCTGACAGAGTCGCAGAAAAGACGGCCCAGAGCCAGGACGCGGGCGAGGATGATTCGATAATATATAATAGCTAGCCCTGTCGTGCCTGAGAATCCAGACTATGGCCCTAATCTGCTGGGTGGCATACCAGAACCATCCGAAAGGAATTCTGAGCAGTAGCGGTAATCCGGAAAAAATGCCGAGCTATGAAATTGAGCAAACTAACTGCACCTTCTGAATACTTGTCTTCAGGACCATTGATATTTTGCGCAACCATTTCCTGGAAACCATGAAAATGAGACAGCATCGTTTCTCATATAAATAAGTGCTTAATATCATCATATCAGGTTTCAATAAATCATGACACTGCCTAATTGCTTCTCAGTGGTAGGGAGTTAAAAGTCATCTAAAAAGATAACGACTCAATGCCATTTCAATTCTTTTACACTGAATTGTTTGTACATGATCAAACGAAACAATGCGATGTCGCTACACTTTTGAATTCACTTTTTTGTTAAATTTACGTTTCCATCTAGTGCCCATTTCTGGTCAATTATCAGGTGGTTGTTGTCATCACCATCAAAGGCTAGCAGAGGTTAAACAGTACAGCAACCCAGATTCATTATGTCTGACCTTCATCAGTTTTCAGGCGAGTCAACGCTAACTGTTGCCGTAAAGCACAAACATCAGACAGCATGGCCGTAGATCTCGCAAGCTATGACATGACCACAACAAAACGCTATGCTGTCCCTATAATCCGCAGGTCACTGACGTATTACCCGCTATTCAGTTGGTTACTCAGAAGCAGTAGGGTTAATTCTTTGTTCATGGCAATTAAAAGTTCATTCTCGTCAATTTTTCTCAACCCACTGCTGAAGGAAAGCCTCTCCAAGGCTTCACTGCAGGTTTTCCTGATCCAGAAAATTTCTTCAGCAAATCCTGCCACTCATCTGAGGATTTTCCTAACAACCGTTTACTCTCGCCTGGAACCCAGTCTAATGTCTCCACGATCAAGCGATGATCGGTTCTTCTTCAGCATGTCCAGTTATTCATCTTCCCAGTAGTTCGTATCATTCCCAACATACACCTTTCCATGCTGCGCAATGTACAGTTTTTGAATAGCTTCCAGACTGCGGTTCATGTTTCGCACTGACGGGCTAACGCGGACAGCAGACTAAATTTTCTGCTATAAACACAGCAACAATTTCCTGCATATAAACATTTTCAATCTTCTAAAAGTGATCCATGGCATTTATATCCCTTTGTTTATTTCACATAATCGGTTCTCGACTGCAAAAATTATCTGTACCAAGGAGAAATATTTTTGCACATCTTCAAGCCTAAATCCGTTGACTTCAGCAGGCAGCTGGGTCACATATTTGTTTCAGGTTTATTTTCAGTAATACACTGATGTTGTCGTCGTTCAGACCTTGAATTCTTCCTTAGAATACTTGTGGCGTCTCATGAAAGTCAACAGATGACTTCAGTAGTACAAACATTTTGTTCATTTCCTGATTTTAAACTTCGGTGATACTGCCTCACCCTACAGTACACACCTTTTGATTTTAAATTTCGAGTGCTTTCGCGAAGCTTCAAACTAGCAGTTGCATTCCTGTAAATCATGGCGATGAGGTTTCTGTGACTTTTTTCTCGATTATCTGGCTCGTCAAGGAAATAAACACAGCAGGGAGTACATAGAGTCGAAAGACATCTCTAAATCGACGAAGCCCATGAAGAGATGAAGCTGACATTCGTTGCATGTTTGAACCTGTCGTTTCACCTTCTGGAGATGATGCATCGTACTAAATCCATTTCTGAATACAATCCGTTCCTTTCACTGCGCTTCGTGGTTCACCGTTACTTTGCTGAAGATCTTGTACATGACTGGCAACAAAATGACTGGACCTGCAGTTCTTGAAAATCTATTTTCGTGGAGTTATTAATTAGTAATTAGCAGTTAATAAAGGAAGATTTACGTCGAACGTCGTGCAGTGTACAGCAAACAATATACCCATTGCGTTACTGTCGCCGCCCCTCCCCCTACCTTTCATCGGCAGAACATGTTCCTCTTTGTAATACTGATTCTTCAAATCAATTACCTACCTCGTAATTGGTAAAGCATTAAACTATTTAAGAAATTACCTTTCTGACCACTCTGTGAAAATTCTTGCAGTCAGCCGCTATTCTTAAACATTCCTTCAGTCCGTTTACAATCTTTGACGACGCCATTTAAAACTGAAAAACCACAACTGTAACAAGAAAAATATAAAATTTGACATTTGCAACTGTATTATCTTTGTTCAACAGTTCCAACAACAAACGCCAAATAAGATGACTTTACAGCTGTACGTCGTGTTTTGCTCTTCCTATATTTCAAATGATCATTTTAAAAATGTTATTTGACATCTGAATAGCCGGGTTAGCGTATCTCGGTGGAGTCCGGAGTTCGGATATCTGAGAGATATTGAAAATTTCCAGCTGCGAGACTTTCGGCACGCCTTGCAAATACTTTCAAAAAGGAAGGCGAAACAGCTGTTAGTTGCTCAACTGACTGGTTGAAGAACTCTTTGAAGGATACGATTAACCTGGAGCAAGGACTATGGTACTATTATTGTCATTTGCCGAACCTCAGACGATAGCAGAGGAACGGAAATACTGGAAATGTTTGAAAAAACTAAAATTCGAAGTTTTATGAATACTAGTAATAAACTGCCAGCGTAAACGCATTTTAGGTAACTACATAAAAATTACAATAACACTTTCATTCAAATAATACTCTACATATTAATTCTAGATTAAACACGTTTAGAGTTCATGATCAAATACGGAAAAAGGAATAGCAGTCCTATACCTAAATTTATGCATATTTTGGAGGGAGCGAGTTTACTGTATAACTGATCAATAAGTATTATATTACAAAGCTGTTTTGGATCTAAATTGAACAACAGTATCACCGGATTACTCGCAAGTCGTTTACTTTAATTTATTTAATTACCGATTAAAAAGTAAAGAAATTACCTTTACGATCTCAACAACAGAACCCATGAAACTGTTACGCTACCGTAAAAATAACTAGCTATCTGTTGTGAACACCCTATTCTAGCCTCATAACGTTAATTATAATACCCGGTGCAGGGAAGTTTGAGCACAAAATTCGATGATCAATTTGAAAATCGAATCGTGTGCTTAAAAAACTCTGTAGTAAACGTTTACCTCAAGGTTGACACACGTAAGTCTATTAATTACCACTTCGTTGTCGACACCCTTTTCTACAAACTATTGTGAAATATGCTGCAAAGGCTTCGTGCCAGAAGGAGCCAAGCAATCATATGGGAATCATTATATTCTACGGAAACAAAGGCCAAATTAGCTAGAACTGTCATACTGATGCTTTGAAAAACCCAAATTGCTGGCGTGGAAATGGAAAAGAAATGCTTTGGAGTCGCCACACTCAGTGCTGAACATGAATGTTGCAGTATAGAGCACTTTAGACTTCCACTCAGGAGTCAGAAGCGAATTTTTTTGACACGGGATACTGGGTAAAGAAGATTGCGTTAATTAGAAGCTAGCTATAAGCAATGGGTTTTGAACTCTAATGTAGCACAAAGAAATGTGAAACACTGAAACACGGCAGGAAAGGCAGTGGCTAAAATGAAATTGATTCCCGATAAACGGTCAGCAAGTGTCAACAGTTGAATTTTCAAACAGCAAACAAATTATTTTCGCAGGCCATTCTCTACCACCAAGATGGAAAAAACGGAGTGCGGGAGTCCTAAAGGAAAATGTCGGACACTTTGTCACCAAAGAATGCTGCATGGATTGAATGGAGAGTATTTTGAGAAACCTCTTAGCCCACTAAGCCGCAGGAAGATTTGCCTGAAAAGCACAATGAAGTTAAAATTAATTTTTCAGTAAATGTTGATTACTGAAAATGTCGCAATGCCATTGGAGTCAACCAGATCTGCCTGAAATGTTTAAGGAGCTTATATTTATTAAGCCATTCTGTGGCTAACTCGCTTCTGTCACATTTAAATGACTGCTTGGAAGACATTGGTGGACTGGAGAACTGTAGTGGTAATCCTCGTGTTTATGAAAACAGACCACGGGAAATACTTCAATTATCAAAGCATTAACTTACCTAGCGTCTAGGGAAAAGTCTACGCAAGGGTGACAGATAAGAAATGTTACGCAGAGCTGACTCTGAGATCCGACAAGAACTGCATGGCTTTTGCTCAGGCTTAGACATCGCCCAGATCTTTGCCCTATGTCAGATTGTTGAGAAATCTTTGGAGTTCGCTCATTTAATTTAACGTGTTTCATAGACCTTAAGAAAATCCTTAATTGGATTCCTTAAAACAGGCAAAGAGAATATCTACTGACATACTAGTTCAGTTTCCAATTGCCACGAACAGTCTTTAGTGGTTCTACACTGATGGCAGATACCGCGTCAAAGTAAATGCATTAAGTCTAAACCTCTTAACGTTGGCACTGGTCTCCGCCAAGGATGAATTCTCTCCCCTCTTCTGCTTATGTTTTATGTGAATGGTCTGACAGAGTAGCCAGGGAGACATGCGCATCGGAGTAAGAGACAATAATTTTGCTGTTTTCAAGTGATTTTCTGTTTACATTTTTTGAAACCAACCTCCAGCATTGTCGGAAACGTTCGCACCCTAATTCTATGCTGCTTCCTTGCGGGTAAACGTGTCTAAGCCCAGGCTAAGTGTTTTCCTTTTTCTTTGCTCGCTAAGCTCTGCAGAAAAACTATGCGGTATTAGATGTGATTTATATACTACAGGATCGTGTCTATTAGTGACGGAACACGGGGGAAGAAGGTCCAACGAGCAATCTTTACGTCAACTTCATTCTAAGTAAATTATCGCGAATCGTTGTTACTAAGTCAGGGCTAAATTTAAAAATGAAGTCGAATGCATTGCAGTCGAGATTCGTTTTCTAAAATGAGTGTCTATGCGTCTATGAACTCGCGCGTCTATGCAGAGCATGGAGTTCAGAAACAGGAGAAAGACTTGACTTACTGCTGTTTTATTTTCAAAAAAGAATGTTACAGTTGCCGCAAATTTGGCACGTTTTGCGGATGCCTGAAAAGAAGACGCTATAGCTATTACTCCCTCAATCGACCGACCTACGCCTTTGGAACAAACAAGTTCAACGTGATTCTTTATTCCAGACTCGGACCGCGTTTTGCGGAAGCTCAAACGTTGGCACGGGGTCGAAAATATTTGTGACACTCTCTGACTCGCATGGATATGCAGTGATCAGACATAATTGACAGCGAAGTGCCTATATTCTTTGGAAGCATCGTTTAGATGAACATTTATTGTGCTGCAAATCGTTGCACTCAACACATTATAAACGAATCTAGCAGTTTTCTTTTACTACCGGATTTAAACGGCATAGAGACAACACCAGCCTGCTTCTAGCTGCCTAGAAGACTATTTGAGCAGGCCAACGGCTTCATGGTATTTTAGCACCAACAGTGCAGCGAATGAATGCAAAACCGCATCCTGTTGCCGTGTATTTTCGGTAGTGAAAGAAAATATTATTTTTCTTAACGGCGATATTGAAAACTGACAGTAAGCAAGTAAATCGATAAGATCTGTGTTTATTATTTTGTTAAACATGAATCTATCTTCGTCCTTTCCTGTAGTTGACACACTTAAGTAATCATAGCTTCTATTTTTCCTATGTACTTGTAGATTTTATTACAGTAAATAACGTTGAAGTAGCGTTTGGTTCACGTGCTTCGAAACGAAAACGCAAAGCGATGCTGTAAAGGTCGTTGCTCATGTTGTCTGAGGCATGAATGCGTTTTCTCAGCAATACGAAATCACGGTCGAAGGCCGTCAGATCGAGGAGGCAGTGGCAAGTATAGTTCACACGCTGTTTGTGCACCGTTCGCTGGGCAAGTTCAAATACAAGGCCGAAGGCAGCTACTACGTCGGTACTTTGGGCACTGAAGACGTTGACTGCAGTTTTATCGACTTCACCTACGTTCGGCTATCGTCCGAGGAGTTCACGTGCTCAGTGGATAGGCAGATCAGCAACTTTCGCGACCTTCTCAGACAGTCGGCTGACCACAGCGACCAGAATGACCATGGCGGATGTGACGGTCAGCTGTTCGTCGAGTTCTACGAAAAGCGTCGCCGGAACTGGCCTTTCGGAGAAGAATCGGTGCCGTGGGAAGTGTGGGCTTTGCAGGTTCACGTCGTCCATCCGACCAGTGAGCACGGTCACCAGCAGCTACGGGAGTCGGCTGCCGAAGCCCTCTCCGATATCGTCTTCTCGATCTGTCGTACTGTGAACAGGTCCCAGTACCTGCCAAAGATGCCGTTGCAGTCTGAGCTGTCGCTGGTGTTCGACACCAGCTTTTCAGACGTCCAGCCGTACCTGCACCACTTCAAGCACCAGACGAAGAACACGCCTCTCGTCCCCTCGCTTACTTCGGCCGTACAAAAGCTTCTCCGTGGCACGTTGTCGTTTTGACTGATGACGGTTGAGTTTCAGCTGTCCCCACCTTTGTTTACCCATTAGATACCTGTCGGATCATGACGTTTAATGTCCAGGCGTCTGCACTCTATTTCACTTGCCTGACGCTTTTCATTGCCATTTATGAATAACGTCGAATTCATTTAACATATGTTTCGTTTGTGTATTGCTTCTGTGATAGCAATGCGGAAATTGCAAGGTTGATTTTACATCGCTGGCGGTCGATCGGTGAATTATCCAAATATCCTGCTTTTCTTACTGACAGAAAGTTTCTGGTTATCTTCTGTCGCCCTCTGTTTAATGCTGCGGTATGTAATTTCTTAGAGTTCTGTTCATGCAAGATGTTTCTTAAAAAGTCTATAACTGTTGAAACATCGGGCTTCTTCGCACTTGCATGATGGGATCTTTTCTAGTGCCCTTCTTTTCATTACGTTAATGGAGGGGGAGTTTATCTCTACTTCTAAGTCATCAACCAGGGATGTCCTATTTTAAAGGTAGATCGATATCAGTACTATAGCCAGTATTTTGCGTACTCTCCTGTTCACTTTCCACATGATAATAATCGCTTACTAACCTCGGAAGGAAGAAAGTCGAGTGACCCATTTCTTAAAACGGCGTGTCCATACATACATAATTTTCGGTGATAGACTAATGGTACCGTTTCGGTCTGACGGATGTAGTTGAGAATGAGGTAAGGTTTGCCGATTCTTTACGAACCTGCCGTTGTCACAGAAGAGAAGTACGTTGTTGCCAATAAACGTGTACCAGTCAAGTTCAAAGAAGCATATTGCTGTGGGATATCTATCGATCGACAAGAAGATTTTACACAAGTACACTGATAATCGTGCAGTTAATAAATTTGTCATATCTGTTGTATTGCACATTACCTTTAACCTTCAGATGCATTGGAGTAGAAAATTTGCAGGAGTTTCTTCGTTACGTTCTGTGTAATTTTTGAACCCGAAGGAAAATATCCTTTTCCTTCAGGAAAAAATGGAATTAGGCGAAAATGCTTGTCCATGAAGCGTAAAATGAATACCATGTCCCAACCGATTTGAATTCTGCCGGTGTACTTATGAATA